TGAGAAGCCTTGGTTCTCATTTGGTTTAAATAACAATAATAACGATAACAAAAATGACTGGTTGTAATGTTGACAGATTATAATACAGGTAATATCATAATTGTTTCAGTTTTCCATCAAAATATCACTGAGATGACTGGTGTTATTACAAGCCCTGGATATCCATCATTCATGATGCAAGCCGATTACCGCTGGACATTCATGCAAAGCTTGACTCGTACACATGTAGTTCTAAAATTTGATGAACTGGATTTACGGCGGTCTTGGAATAATGGGTAAATTTGCATACCAAATCTCACCGAGACCATTCCACACGATAGCATTTCCCCAAAGCATGCCATATTGTAACTTTGCCATACCATTTCGTATAAATTAGTAAAACCTATAGTTTCTTATAGATTTTTAATGCAACAGCTATTTTTTATTATTTCTTTCGAATAGGTGTTTCCTAATTTTATGTTTTTTGCTGTTTCTTTAGTTACAGCAGTGTTTCCATTCAGGAATCCGGCAGAGTGTATCGCAACCGTTTGTATCATGGAGTTGCAACAGTGTTCACTTTACCTGGCCAACTTAAGTTTTATTCGTCTGTTTCAACTCGTCGATATATTAATAGTCAGTCTGGAAGGGGAATGCTAGTAAGGTTCTTTTCCTGCAGAGAACAAGGTATAATATCTATCATTACTATCACTTAATTCAAATTAATCGAAAAAAAAATAAATTAGTGGTATCTGTATTGGACAAAAATATTAAATAGATAAAAAAAAGCACAGAGTGGTTTTCATAAACCCGTGAAACAAAGTGTAATAATTGGAGTGTAATTGATCGTAGTAATAGTCGGGTAGAGACAATCAAAAACAAAAGAGCCAAAGTGTAATAGCGATAAATACACGGGTTAATGAAAACCACTTTAGTAAACCCTTACTCGTGTTTCTGTTTTTATATCAAAGAAAGGAGAAATTGGAAGGTCTGTGTTGTTAGACAGGGAAGGGGAAATATATCCAACTCGGGGTCAGGTTTGTACGTTACAAATGGGAAACAAGTGGCTTTTGTGCATTCAAAATACTGCGACATTTAAGCTACTTGAATTTTCTAAGTTCCTGCTTTATTCGAGATCTGATATGTATCAAAATAATAATAATAATAATAGTAATAAAAAGATCTTTGCCGTCTGTTATAGAGTCTACACTAAATAATTGGACCATATCATTTTCGAGCCACCACTACAACAGTATCTCTGCCCATTGGACACAGAGTAATGTTACAGGCTATGATATTTTGGGATTTTTGATGTCCTGCAATTCTAAACAGGAGTGGGCTAACGAAACATTTTACCATTTTGGAGAAAGCAATTCAACCACTTTGACTTGCAATGGGCTTATTTGGTACACTCAGTATGACGTGTATGTGTTGATGATGGTGAGAACAGGAGATACCTGTACAGCATACAAGTCAAACACGTCAATAACAACACAAGAATCGTGTAAGTTTTTATTTTTAAGCAATTAGCAGTTATTTCCCATTCATTTGCTAGTGATAACTATAATGTTTGTTAGTGATTAATATGTTTTTCTTCTTGCTTCCTCATCTTGTCTTCTTTCTTCCTTGTATTATCTCCTTCGTCATAATCTCACTGCCTTACTTGGCTATCCTTCATTTTGATTCCCATCTCCCCTTAACTCCCCGTATATTCCATCTAGCGTCACTTTATGAGAGTCAGTCCTACCATTGACGTGATTCAAGACATTCGGTTTGTTTTTGTTCTGTTTCGTTCTGATTTGTTTATTTTTGTTGCATTTTTTTAGTTAAATTCGCAAGAATTCGTGAGCTGGGGCATTAGGGTGGAATTAATAGATCAATATTGTCAAAACAATTGTCACATTTTGTATTTGAACGATTCATATTGAGAAAAAAATAACTGAAATTATGAGAAGAAAAAAAAGAAAACTTTGGAGACCTGGCAATTATTTTGCCTCTAAGGTTTCCTAACACTTATAGTGCAAGTCCAGATAAAATTAGTAAAACTCAGTTTAGAACTAAAGGGACTGGATTTTTAGAAATGAGGTTTGGCTAAGCTCGTCCTGTCATGATAAGCTTGAAGCTTTTCTATTAACTGCAACAATTCAAATTATTTAAC